CAATTAAAACTTTAAAAAGCAGGGTGGCTTGAGCAAAGTTGATTACTGTCTTTAAACTCTCTAGAAAAAATGTGCCCCTTACTGTAGCACCCAAGACCAGCCTGCCCGCACCCTTGGAGGCACTGCCCACCCAGGTGACCTTCCTGGGCAACCCCCACTTCTGATGCCCCTGCTGCAGAAGGTGAGCCGTACCCGGTTCACCTCTCCATTGCTGCAGCACTCAGACATGCTGGGAGCCCAGGAAAGGGTGGTCTCTCTCCCCTGGGAGCTCCTTGTTTGTCCTATAGATGCTCAAGGACATAACTGGAACTAAGGCTCACTGCAGGCATAGGACGGTCTCTATGCCTCCTCTTTGAAATTTTTCCTCCTTTCTTTTTGCAGATGGTTGCATTTAACGAGGAAATGCTGTCAGCAGAAAGGAGAGGAAGCCTCATGCTGACCCCCTCAGGATCCACAGCCTGAGAGGCAAGAACATTCTCACTCAGTCCTTGAAAGATGACTCTGTCCACTCACGTGGACCCGAGTAGGAAGTGCAAAGAGGATTATTCTCATTGCATACTTTATGCAGCTGATGTCCTGCAGAAAGTTCTGGAAAGAGAAAACAAACTGTCTCCGCACAATAAAAATGACTGATGTGATAAGTAACACTGACAGCTTGCTAAACCAAATATATCCCTCTCATCTGGCCCCACACCTGTCTTCTTATCAGATCCCATAACAACCTATGAGTTTGTGTTTTGTTTGTTTCTTTGATCTACCCTCCTTTCACAGATAAGGAAATTGAGGCCAAACAAGTGAAGGGTTTCCCCAAGTGGCACCATAATATGACAGTGCTGTGACCCAAAAGAGGCTTGTCTAAAAATCAAGGTTGCTCTTTATTTCATCTCACAGCCCCTCCAAGCATGTCAGTGCTGCTACATGCCATTCAGTCACAACGCACTTCCACTAAGGATACCAAAGGACCTTGTCAGTTGGGAACCAACACCTGCCTGTGCACTGGGAACCGATGCTATGAAAGCAAGCCCATTTCCAAACTTGGGGTTAATGATAAAGCTGAAACAACGTAATACTCCCTCTCCCGCTCCTCCTTTATCAATATGTGCCTTGAGTTTGAATGCCAAGTCAAACCTCTCCAGAACCACATCCTTGGTGGTGACTTATTAAAGAGTAAATCAAAGTTTGCTCAAAGAGAAAAGTAAACATTCCCAACTGTCCATGTGCTGCTGGGCCCTGAGCTCACTTCCCGGTCCCTCTGTTGACTTGGGCTGTAATCCCAGATAAGCGCCTGCAGACTTACCGCCCTGGGCCCAAAGTGCAAAACTGGCCAAAGCCCTGAACAGTACCCACTCCCTCCCAGGACTAGATTTGGCACAGTGCTGGTTCCCATGGAGTTTGCATGCCTCAGCAGGGAAAACTGGACAAAAGGATGTGTAGGCACAAAGCTCAGCACATAGGTAGCTGCTGCTTGTCCTGGTGTCTCTGGCTGTGAGGAAATGGGTCACTTATTTGTCACATCATCAATAAAGCCTGACAGCCTTTGGCTCTGTGCTCACCCGTAATTATTGAGAGTGAGGAGGGAATGGCTGCACTTTGGTACTCAGATGGCCAGGAGGAATGAGGACAAAGTTGACAAGAGTCAACCCTAATCACACAGTGAGTGTTTTCAAAGAAACAAATAAAAATAGCCAGAAGTGGGTCGGCACTTACAGTGAGGTTAGAGGCAGGAAACTGGGGCAGACTTCAAGGCCTGTGTGGAAGACAGAAGTTTTATTTCATAAGTACAAACTCACACTAGCTTTCCAGGCAGATTCCCTGTAGCTTCTTGTCCTTTTTTTCCTTCTTTCTGTCTTTTATATACACAGGAATAGAGGTGAATCCTTGCTCCATCTTAATTCCAATATGCTCTCCTATTCCTTGAGGCTGAAGAAAAAAATATTTAAAAAGAACCCACTTGGAAGGCTGCAGAAGAGAAATGCAAATGCAAAGCCCATCTGCAATCTCAGTGTACATTTCCTAGGAGCACAGCAAATCCCATGAAAAGCACTGTGTCTAAATGATGTACCTGTTCTGAACATGACTGTCTCACACCAGGCGGTCACAGCCCCCAGTACACATGAGTCTGTAGCAACTGCTGTGCCACACATGAAAGCACACATGAGTATCCTCATACACAAACAGAAAACTCACACAGTACACAAGACACACACACAGTGTATATGCACATAGCATGTGTACATGGCACACAAGCCTACCTGGCCTGAACATGTATCCACACACACATATCTGAACACATAAACTCACAGATGTACACATGGCTCTTATGCACATGGTAAGTACCCATGCACAGACTGGTGCATATGCATGACACCCAAGCACACACATGTACAGTTGGCCCACCATATCAGTGGGCTCTGCATCCATGGATTCAACTAACTTCAGGTGAGGGGAAAATTATGTCCGTACTGAACACATGCTGACTTTTTTCCTTGTCGTTATTTCCTAAAGAATGTGTCTAATAACTATTTACAGTACACTGTATTGGGTTTTATTAGTAACCTAAAGATGATTTTAAAAATATACAGAGAGATTGAATAGGTCATATACAAATATTGTGCCACTTTATGCAAGAGACTTGAGGATCTGCAGATTGTGGTACTTGCAGGGATCCTGAACCTAACTGATGGTGGACACTGGAGACCACTGTCCTCCTGAGTCCTCCTGCACACACAAGTATACGTACATGGCATTGGGCAGTAGACATGCATAACTAGAGAGTGCTTCTTGCTCTCTTTGTAACCTTGAGACTTTGGCACAGCTTGTTAATGCCCACACTTGGCAGGATTGCATTTCCTTGTGGCCTCAGTGACGTGTTTGGGGGAGATTTATTGGGCTTATCAGAGACAGAGAGAGAGAGAGAGAGAGAGAGAGAGAGAGAGAGAGAGAGAGAGAGAGAGAGGCAAATTCTGCTGTGCAATCATCCCAGCCCTTGGTTTCAGGTTGCAGATCCTCAGGGCCAACTCAGAGGAGTTGGTAAGATGGAGTCCTTTGGTGAGAGTCGTTATGTTTGCCTGGTAATTTGTTAGAACACTGAAATATACACTGCTTCCAAATGTTATCATCTTAGAATTCATTGAAAAACAAAAACCCTGGTGCTAGGCCAAGTAACCTAAAGAATGCAGGCATAAAGACATGCAAAATAAATATGCTCAAAATATGTGGTAAAGCATAGGTATTGAAAGGAGTTTGGGTGTGAAAATTTGTCCACCTATTCACTCTTTTTCTCTCCTGGAGGGAAAGAAGACCTTCAGGCCAGAGGCAGATCAGCCCAGGAGCTACCTGGCACCCAGAATTAGGGCAGACAGAACTGCCCAGTGCTTTTCTGAAATTCAGTTCAGACATAGGATGTTTTCTGGGCTCAGACAGCCCCCACACCTCCAGTCAGTGGAACTTTCTATGCTGTGGTCAGTGAACTGTATCACACCAGAATGACATCTGTTTTCACTTACTCAAGAACTCAAGGATGGGTCCTGGGAGAGTGTGCCCCAAAAAGCCTCCCAGGTGGTTATGGGAGGATGAAGGTTCTAGAAGAATGTAGTCCCTACCTAAAGTTTCAGGTACCAGATGAAGACCACATGGAGTGATCTCGCTGTGTTTTTTTGCAATCATACCACTTAAAAAGATCTGATTATGATGAATCCAGTCTAAGAGCAAATTAACCAAACATAGACCCACTGAAAAAAATGCCAAGAAGATATATATATATATATATATATATATTTTTTTTTTTTTAGTTTGGGGGTTTTGGGTGGGATTTGGGGGGAGAGAAGGGAAGCTTCTCAGTCAAGAGCAATTCCTTAAAACCATGGGCAAAATTCCCTTTTCTACTACTAGTTTTTTTTTTTTTTTTCTTTTTAATGACAAAGTCACACAAGGGAGGAAATGAAAAGGGAAATTTTTAGACTTCTCATCTGTTCAGAAAGCCCCAACTCTGTTTCAGAACCTGTCAGGGTAACTGTCATGCCTGCGGTCCACGCTGCACTCCCAGGAGGCCTTGCGTCGGAGGCCATTATATCAATAAGGAAGTATGATCACCAAACCGCAAGCGAGCTTTTTTTTTCAAGCCCACATGTTGCTCTACAGGGTTTTAAAACAAGAGACTTTCCTGTTTTTGAAACTTGTGAATCCACAGGACTTCCAGGTTTCTCAAATTATCTTATCCCTTGCAGCAAACACGGATGTGAGTGGATGTGAGTGGACGCAAGTTTCAAAACTGCTTGCCCCAGCCTTCCCTGGCTGGCAGACGTCCATTTACTCTCTGGAATCTTTATTTACAGTATCGTGTTGCCAGTTGCTGACACAGGAGGGAGAAAAAAAGCGCTAGTTATACATTAAGCTTCATGGTCAAGTTTCTGTGCCAGATGCCGTTCCAATGTCGGTTATTCACTGACCTGAAGGGGGATGACCACACCAAAGAGAATTCACCAGAAACAGTTTTGTGGTTATGGTACCTTCCTTCCTAGAACAAGGCTATTTTTCATGCCGATGCACACACATGCTTGCAAATGTAGTGTAAGAAATCATCACAATTCACAAGAAGCTATTATATTCGTCATAGGGTGTGCAGCAAATCTGTTGGAAAAATTTGAAGTACAACTAAAAAGCATCCCAAAGTACCTATGGAGTTGCTGTCCAAGTTACTGGAAAAGCAATGTAGAAAGCATAGATAGAAGACTTTATGGGGGCATAGGTGAAAGGTGTCAACTGTCCAAGCTAAATCCTCAGTGCTGTGCAAGTCAGACTTGTTTTTCCCTTGAGCAAATAGAAACATTGACATGAAAGAGTGCATTAAAAAAGTGATGACACAGGGCCAGGGATTTAGCTCAGTGGTTCTGCCGCCCGCCTTGCAAGTGCAAGGACCCAACCGAGTTCAATCCCCATTACAAAAAAAGAAAAAAAATGATGATGACACAAATCCACAAATGTTTCTCTTTCCTCCTCAGCTAAGTAACTCAAGAATGATATTTGGGACCCAACAACCGCTTTTGATAACCATCTTCTGGGGTAACTCCAACCCTGGCTAGTGGCCGCTTGGCATTGCTCAAATCATCCCTGTAGACTTCATCATGTGCTCGCTGCTTCATGGGCTGACCTTAAGTTAACAGAGGGCTGCTGGAAGGTAATTCACATTCTGTTTTCAGTGACTGCCCAATCAGAGCAAGGATAAACAACCAGTGAACTTTATTCTGCAGCCTCAGCCAGTGACCTCTCAGCCCATGTCACAGAATCTACCTAGCAATAATGAATCTAGCACACACTTATCTAACCTCACACTTTGGTCTTTTGGGGTTAGAATCAACACTTAGGTCATTTTAAAAAATGCATCTTCCAAAAAAGAGCATGCTCTCAGTTTGAGCACATGGGTATTTTGTTTATCTTCTTTTCTTTTTCGGTATTCTAATAAATCTACCTTCACTGAAATGTTGAGATAGGCACACTGAAGCCACTGTGCTGTGATTTTATGTCGGAGGGAAGGTTCTTTCAAAACAGCACCAACTCTCTTTCTTATGGAATGTCAAGTAGGAATCAGGCCACACCATCAAGCTTCAGAAATCAATCTCCAGGATCGTGGCTAGCCTACTGTGGCCTAACATAGTACACCTTTGGGGAAAAAGACAAAAAATAAAAAATAAGTTAATTCCAGAAAATCCCAGACTTCCCACACAGGCCCACATTGTTTTGTTCTGTTTTTTAGTACAGGGGTTTGAACCCAGAGCCTCATATGTGTTAGGCAAGCCCTATACCACTGAACTACATCCGCAGGCCCCAGTAGATATTTTTAATCATAGTCTCATTGGTATATGATCTGTTATGTTTGTATGGAGAGCATTCTACTCTTCTACCATGTTTTAAAAATAATACTTCCTTTCCTTTTTTTGAAAATCAGGGGGACATAAAGTCAATGTGGAACTGCTTTCAACCCTTCATTGTTAACTAGGGCTCTTAGCCTCCACCTTCTTGCCTGACTTTGACTGCTTTTGCTGGACAAATAAATGCCTGGCCCCCTCTTACTTGGGCTATATAGATCACAGGTCTTTTTTCTCTTCAGGGGATATGTATGCCCTCGTGTCTCTCTTCAGGGGATATACATTGCCCGAAAAGAAAATGCTGATTCTTCCCTTCAGTCCCACCACTGATGCTGCATACCCAGACTGATGCCATCAGACCTGAGAATTGTGTCTCAGCTCTCCTAGGCCTTCCAGCTCCATTGCCAACAAGCACTGGGTGACAGGTCCTTGAGAAGGATACTTCGGTGAGTCCTCCCATCTCCCCTGGAAGCTCCCCCCGAGGTCATTACCAAGCCTGCCAACTCAGACTAGCAATGCATGGAAGAAAAGAGGATGTACGGTGGATCTAAGATGTCACCTTGTATTTGTGTTCCTGAGAAGTTCCTTGTGTTATAGGGTGCTCTCTTAATGTCTTTATTTAGAACAAAATACCTCGAAAGTAATTCAATCAGTGATACTTTGGGATGTTTATAGAGCTTACCTGGAAGAATAGCTTTTGTTTTTTTTTCTTTAATGCAAATAAATGTAAAAGTTTTTATAGCTATCTTGAAGGCACAACCTCCAAATGAAAGTATTTGATATCATAAGTATTTCCAAGCTTGTTTTAGATTATGAAAAATTTCAGACCTATCAAAATAAGAGTGTATAGCCCAATAAATCTCCATCTATCCATCATTAAGATCAATAATTACCCAACTTTTTTCATTTTCCTTCCCTTTTTGCTCTTAATTTTTTCTCTTCATAAAGTCCTGTGAAGAAAACCCCTGGTCTCATGTCATTTCACACCTTCGAAGTTTGGCCTGTGATCTTAAAATACATGAATGTTCCTTATACAGCTGCAACCTCATGAAGGTCCCTCTCAAAAACAGTACAAGGACTCAACTTTGTGGAGACCACAAGTGGTGTATGGACAGAGAGGCCTGAGACGACATTCCCAGCGATCACAATATACAGACTTAAAAAGTGCTAAATCTCAAAGACATTGAGCAGAAGAAAGAAGATGTTATCAAAGACTGAGTCAGATCATCTGAAAAGGAGCTGGAATGGAGATGAAGGTCTGAATAAAGGGACACCAAAAGCAGTATCTCCAGATAAGTACATTTATGCATGTAACCGCAAATACGCATATGGTTAAGTCGACGAATTAAATTTTATAGTGAGAAATTTGACTACATCACTTGCATCATTAAACATTTATATATTCAAGCTGGCCAAAAAAAAAGACACAAAACTTTTGTAAGTTGCCCATTGGGAAATAGCACATTGCCTCACATTGGAGGTTGCATATATGGTATCTTCATCCCACTGTCAAGCTTGTTTTTCCTATCACAAACATTTCTTGAGTGTCCACCAGATGCCAACCCCTGAGAAGAAGCACCTTAATGTACCTGTGGCCTTGTGGGGGACAGCTTACTGTCCCCTCAGTTTTTCAAGGGAGAAAACTGAGACTTCAAGAAAGTGAGTTATTTTCCCAAAGAGATAAAGACAGAACATGAGTCTGATTTATTTCCCCTGGTGCCCTTACAAGCTCTTTTTCTCTGCCTTTCCCCTAGTAACCCCTTGGACCTGTCTATACCACATGGCAATATCAAGGTTTCTATTAAAGATTTCAGTTAAGGGGAATGGACATGCAGTGGGAAGTTTGGTATCTGCATGGTCGTAGCCATGGCTTCATATTGTCATGGCCAAATAATGTTCCTGGTGATAATAGTCTAATGATAAACAACAGGTGGTGCCAGCAACGGTGGCTTTAATCTTGGTAAACATAAAAATCGCCAAAGCATTTGCAGAAAGGCTGAGCCAAGGGCAGCTGAGTGCACCTGAGCCTGCTTCTACCCCGTATGTCCTTGTTACTCCTGTCCACCAGTGTGTCTCCAACTCAGACCTCCTACTCTGCTTCAGAGTTGTTCTCACCACCTCCTCTAATATAACTTACCATAAAATGAGGAAAAGAAACACAACAGCAAACTCAGCCCTGCTCAGGTATGCGGCTCAGTATACACAGGTGGGTACTTTGTACAAAAGCAAAAGAAAAACTTGTGGCTTCTCATTTACCATCCTCTCCTGAGCTGCTGGATGATCCCCAGCAAGTCATTTAACTTTCCTTTACTGCAGTTTCCTCATCATTAAAACGTGATATTTGAGGACCATAACTGAAGTAGCCAAATAATATTATCCAATTAAGGTAAAAAAAATGCCGTATAAATGCTACGGAGGCTAGGGCTTAAATAGACACATATGGTTTCATGAAACACACTCCAGTGCATCAACTAGCCATAAAAATGTATGGGAGCAAAATGATCTGGCTGGAAATGAACTGCAAATTGATAAACATTTAGTTGCTAATGCAGTGTTTATTATTTTTTACTAGGATAAAAATTAACTTGTGTGGCCTTGGCCAGCTAACAGATTGAACTCAAGCTCTGGGTAGTGGACGGTGTTTCTGTAGCCTCAGGTTACAGGTTACTGTTGCCAGCTCCCATTTTATTTTGTAAATAGGCCCTGGATGTCCAGACAACAGAACCAGGTTAGGTTTCTGGGAAGCATAATCCAACAAGTGCCCAAATGGGGCTCCAGGGAGGGAACCAGTAAACAGGGCTGCATCTTTAGGGTCCTGCACTTCCCAAGGAAGACATAGGGCACAGCCAGGGAGAATTGCCTTCATCCTGCAAAGCCAGCCTGGCTGCAAGGCAGCACTTTCAAGGGAACAGGGAGAGCCCAGGGGAGGAGGGGAGTGTGAAGAGGGGGGTGCATGGGGATCAGGAGGACAGGACCAGCCTGAGCAAGCTCAGCCACGTGACAGCCCCAGCAGCAGCCCCAGCTGCAGAGTGGACCTTTCCCGGGGGCCTTTTCCATCAACTCTGCAAGCAGCTGGATCAATTTACTGTAGCTGCAGAGCCCAGAGCCCAGCACAAGCAGGGCCTGAGTTATGACTCATGGAAATCCCCTCTGTTTCAGGGAATCAGGTAGCTTTCAGACTCCCAACGATTAATGGGCCTTTTGGTCAAAGGAGAATAGAAAAAAAAAAAAAGACTGCAACTAAAGACTTCAAAACAGGCTGTTTGGATTCTACTAAATTAGAGAGAGTAGGTGGTTGAGGTACAAGTAATGTTATCCTGTAGAAATGTGGCCTTCTTTGACGTCAGTAAATGTTTCTCTCTCTCCCTTTTTCCTTCTTTTCCTCCACCCTCTCCTTTCCTTTCCTGAGTCCCCTCCCTCCTGCTCGCCTCTTTATGTCAAACAGAAAGATGACCTAGGGCAGCTCCAGAAAACAGCTCCTAGTTTTGCTAGGCAGCTCACAGTCTCAGAAGAATCCCACATTTGCAGAGATGAAGACTATTGTGGGAGGTGGGACAAATCTGCAAGACAAAAATACATGTGACTCAGTACAGGAAGAGACAACAGCCTGCTGGAAGCCAGCAGCAACCGCCACTGGCCTCACATTACTCCCTCGTCTGGCCTGATTAGCTGTTCTGTCTGAGGGAACATTCTTCCTGTGGCACAGAACACATACTGGCCTCCAGCTGGCCTGAAATAGTATCTTGGGGAGCATGCGCCCTGCTCCACAGCCACTCATCCTGGCACTCAGCCCAGGATGCTGGGCCAGGCTTTATCCAGGCTCCTTGGCCTCTTCTACCAGAGCTGTTTTTCTCCACTCATCAAAGACAGCAACAGATGCCCCACGATAGCACAGAGCTATCTAGAGTAAGGATTCCGTGGCTAGGTAAGCACTCATAGCTGGTTGTTTCCCATTGAATTTTTTTAATTTCTGGCCTCACTGTTTCAATAGGAACAGCTTAGACTCCCCTGGGAGTCCAGCCTGGGAGTTACATAGTAAGGATTGGTGGAGTGGGCAACTTCCTTTGGGGCTTTAAATTGCCCCATAGCCCAGTAAGGCTGCATGGTCTCTGCAGTAATGTGTCTCTGCCATGCTTTGAGCAGACAGCATTGGAAAGCAGAAATCTATCCTGATCCCAGGGGTCCTGCAGTGCCAACTGCAAACTGGATCCAGGGAAGGCAGAGCTGGGAGCAGGCTTGGGGACATATACTCCGCAGGCCCCAAGGTTCTGCTCTGAGGGATGAGCCGCCTCTTCCCACCTCCCTCCTCTTGCCCACACAGCCAGGGCAGTAGAGGGCTTCAGAACAGGGAGCACTCTGCAGGTGTGAGGTCCACAGGAAGGCCAGCCAGCAAGAAAAGAACACGTGTACAAGGAGACGGAGCAAGCTCGCACAGATCTGCTCAGAAACTGGACATGAAACCGGAAAAAGAATACTGTATGAGAGCACCCACAAGTGTCACAAGTAGGTAACAGTGCTTTGGGAGGAAGTCAGGCTCAGCACAAGGTGGATATTTAATGTCGGCGTTGGGCAAATGGATGAATAACCAGGGGAATGAAATGGTCTAGAAAGCAATGAAGGCCCCCAAATTTCTGGCAGGCAGAGGGTATATGCTGGATCAACTTGGAGGAGGATGAACTGCCCAATGAACAGGAGCATAGGAGATAGACATGACAACTGGTAGTGACAGCATGTAAGGAATACCCAGCATCACAAGCTAGGATCTCGCATGCCTTGACCCCATTGGTTTTAAAGGTGGGACCCAGTGGAGAGTATGGAGACTCTCAGGGGCACTAGGAAAGATAATTGAGACCAGAAGGATTGAGGAGGCTGGAAGCAGATGTACCCAGCCAAGAGCAGCCCTTGTGTGTCTTCCAAGCTGGCACAGGCAGGTCCTTTTGCCATCCTGTCAGTCTTGCTTCTACTGTCCTTTCAGCTCCCTCTGGTGAGAGTGGACAGCTGCTCTCCTGCACAGCTCCTGTGCAGAGACTCCAAGGGGGTGTGGGAGGCAGAGCTCTGGTCCCTTCCAACACAGTCAGCCCCCATCTGCTGCTTCCTCTTTCCTGCCCTGGAAACTGAAGTACAGGGAGGGAGCTGAGCAGGAAGAACCAGCAGCCAAGGGCTTCCTGTACACTTCTCACCTGTGTTACCCTGTCCAGCCTCACTGAGAGCCCTTCGGCGCTTGGAAAGCACACTCCAGTCTTCTGGGACACAAAGGGACCCAGGCCAGCAGGAAGGCTGCTGCTTGGCAGATTGGACCTACTCTCACCTCTGAGAGGAGCAAGGTGTCACCCCTGAGGTGTCCACACTGGCACCTCTTCCCACTTCCCCTCTGGGAACACATTTATTTCATTTGAGCCACATAAGGGGAGTCGTCTTTCCTTCCTGCTGCACCCTCTTTTTCCTTCCAAATGTGCCTCATACCCTGATATCCCTCATACACAAGGACTATCTCACTCCAGCAGGGCAGAAAGCTTAAACCTTTGTCTCATGCAAGATGTTTTCCTGGGAGAGGTGGGTGGGGTGCATGGGGCAGGGAGCTGAGGTCTTGTATGGACAGCTGCCCCATCCTTGTCACAAGGCAGAGGGAGCTGGCTGTCAGCCTCCCTGCTTCCCACTCCTCAAACAACCTAAACTCTCCTCAGACACCCCAATAGGCTAGATTCCTCTCATCCACCCACTGATGTCCCAACAGGAATATGGAATGTCAGCAGGCCAGGGAACATCATGGCACTACTCAGCAGGTGTACAGCTACCTAAACAAGGGAACAGGAAGCTCACCAGGCAGGTGGTAAGGCCAGGCTCTGTGGCACTGTTTCACCAACACCATGAGGACAAGTCTGTGCTTGAGCAATGGGGATGAAGATGAAGCATATGTCCTCATCATTGCCTGATGCAGCAAGGTGCTGGCCTCCACTAAACACACAGGACCCTGACCTCCAGTGTCCCTGACAGGCAGCACAGGTGCCAGCCTGCCCATGCTCCCTGAAGCAGAGCTGCCTAGTACTAGTCTTGGCTGACTGGAGTCTGGATCCCCTGTGAGATTAGTCTAATAGTCCCTCCTTGATGGACTAGTACAACGGACTAGTGAAGCTTCTGGCTTTGAGCAGCCCCTCAATCATGATTTTAAAATAACCATTTTATCATTAACAGCAGCAATGTACACTGTAGCTTCCTGCTAAAGAAAATAACTAAATTTACTGAGATTGTGTACATTATACTCACACTGATCTGTGAGGTATTATGGTCCCCACTTTACAAAGAAAGAATCTGAGGCTCAGAGAAGTTAAGTAACATT